AACAGACATGTGCCAAGAACTAACCCCAGACCCTGGCCTGTTCAATAAATCTCTCTCCTATAAAGCTGACATACTTATGGGATTACCGTTTACATGAATAAGTTTTAAGGGTGAACATGGCTCACTTGCCAAGAAATGATTCTTTCAGGCTTTCCATCTTCAGTTACATCTATTAGTATTGACAGAGCACTGTCAGGACACTTCTGTTCTCCCCTGGCCTCTGCCACCACCGGGCAGTGTGATCCTGAGCAAGCTGTCCTGTCCAGACCTCTGAAATGAAGGCTTATTATATAACTTCACTGTCTGAAAACTGCTACCTTGCAGACTTTACAGTTTAATATATGTAATACTGGTTTGAGAAAGAAGTATTGCATCTTAAGGTGTCTTGAAAACCTTAATATACTGAATGTGGTAATGACCATCTGGTGTTTTTTGGGGGGGAAATGAATCACATTATATGGATGTATTTCTAATACTAAGATAAGCCATATTTCATTAAGGAGGAAGTGGGAGACTAAAAACATGGGATCACGAAATCCGGCAGTACAAACCATTTTCAAAGGTGTCAGTTTCTCAGTGGCTTCAAAACTATTCCACTAGACCGCTTATTGGCAATGTTGGTGATGAATTTGGCTGTTTTATATACCACTATCATTCGTTAAACAAGGTAATATATGTGAACACAAATATTGCTGTTTTATATTTCTGCAAAGGCTGTTGCCTACCCTTGATTTCCTATATCCAACAATATCCAACACTGACTATTTCAGCTACAAACTGAGAGACATGTCAGAACCACAGGTTGTCACAGGGCTTACATCTAGAGGGAGAACCAGGCAAACCTGGGAGCACATCCAAGACCACTTGACTCAGATTTCAGACACAGGGCAGCCCCTAGAGAATGTAACATCTAAGCTGAGGTCTGAAGGGTGAACAGCAAGGGTGTACGGGTGATGACTGGGAATGAGTGTGTCTCACTTTGCAACTCTAGGTGTAGCTAGGGCATCACCTCTGGTCAGTTAGGGTCCTCTCTTCCATGCTCCCTTCACACTGTGGGTTTCTTCTAGCTACGGTGACCTAAGTCCTAGTCTATTTGTTGTTCTGGCATAACTGTTCATAGTGCCTCCTTACACTCTCAAAAGTGCTCTGGCTGAGACAATCGGTTAATTATGATTACTGTATCTTTAGCCTGCTCCCTGTAGATCCCAGCGTCATGCCTGGCTCCCCAGGTGCCTCGGTGCACAGAGGTCTGGGCTCAATCTTATTTACCTCTGCACCCATGGCCTGGGTTTCATCTCATTCCTCTTTGTTATCTATGACACCTAGCCTTGTACCTGAGGCTAAATTTCAACTGAGTGCCAGAGGTGTTCAACACAATATCTGAAATCAGAATGAAAAGCAAATAGGAGACATTAGATTTGCAAATCTTTACACGTTAGAATCATGGTTCCACCTTTCACTAGCTGTGTGACCTTCTAATTCTTAGATGTTTTACCTGAAAAAATTGAGATAACAGTATCTTTTTCATAGGGTGAAGTTTCAGTGAAATAATCCAGGTAAAGTGCTTTAATGTGTGTAGCACTTGGCATATACTCTGTTAGCGGCAGCTGCTCGGCAGTGATCACCATTCCTGCTGCAGCAACCCTGCTTTGCTGAAAGAAAATTAAACAAACACCTAACAAGTATCCAGTAGGGACTCAATAAGTGCGCACTAAATGAAAGCCTGGTCTCATGCCAGATGCTGGCTGCAGACCAGATTCTTGGATTACAGATGCATTAATCAAAATTATAATTTAGAAGTCAAAGTTTGACTCCTCGAAGTCCAGTTTTAATAGTAACAATTTAAAAACTCCCACCTTGTATCCATAAGTAAAAAAGCACAGAACAAAGAACATAACAGCACTATCTGGCAGCATCCTGGGTGTGTTAATTAACAGCCTTTAAACCTCATCCTTGTTATAACTATGCCCGTTTCAAAGCTATTCTTCTATAAGCATGCCAACTTGGATATTTGGGTCCATCTCTTCTTTTTGAACTGTCAGCTTCTTAAGTTTTATATGATTAATGTATATAGAGAAAATTAGAAAGGCTTCAGATTGAGTCAACGGTAGTTTTCTTGATCTCCCAATTACAATATCCTCTTTGCAGTATATCCTTGTTGAGCATTTGGAATGAATTAAGACTTTAAATTTCCAGATGTTTAAACTACTACTGTAAATTCAAACTCATTAAACAGGGCAGATTTACTACCTCTACTTAGTTTTGAAGTCTGTTGTTCACCCTGTCTAAATAATTTATGAAACCAAATACAGTGGCAGGTAGTGTATTCTATTTATATAGCATTCATGGTGAGAAATGGGGACACTTAAAAAGGTCTAGAAATTAACTGCCGTTTTAGCCAACCTGTAGATCACACTTATTGTTGTTTCTAAGCTAGTAATTGTTTCCTGAAACTGATCTAGTAGAGATTTTTATGCTAATCTGTACTAAAAATTACTTTGCTTTTTCTGGCCACAAAAAGCTGGCTACAGAGGAGCATTTGATTACAGCAAGAAGACAGCTGCACCCACTCTCATGAAATAAATGGACCTGGATGTACAAGTCCTTTGTGGTGGTGTCTTGGCAGCCAAACAAAGGTGGCAGCATTTCTACACCCAGTTTGTAAAGTCTCAGAAGTTTCAGGCTTCAATTTTGTTTTTCCCCCAAAGGAACCCACGTGGACGGTAATGAGTACATTTTAGAGATGCTGTGCTGAAAGCTGGCAATGGATAAAGCCAGAACATAAAAGGAGCCTATTCCTAATGCAAATATTTCTTTTACAAGCCTTAAGAATGAAGTGGCTTTCACAATCAATTTTAAGACTGAAGGATTGAAGTACCTGGCTCTGGCACTTATTAGCTATATAATTTGGGGCAATTCATTTACCTCTATAAGCTTAATTTCTCAACTGAAAAATGGGGATAACACTTTCTCTGAGTTTCTCTGAGAACTTGAATGATATATTTAAAGTGCTCTGTAAGCTCTCAAGTATAACTCTTAATAAACACTGCAAGTACAATTTTCCTGTTTTATGAATTTCTCACTTTAGCACTTAAAAAGTGGCTGTCCCTTGTATGAAACAAAAACCAGATCCAAATGTTACTGCAGAGGAACTGCCTCAAGAGGGGTCTCTTTCAACTCAATCCACTACTATTTATCTTACAGGGTAATTGTTTAAGAATTAAATAAAAATTACATAAAATTAATAAAGCATTTGTTCTCACTTATTTTACAAGTAACAAATTCTATGTTAGGCTTCAATTGTGTAACTTTCCTTTCCCAAAAATGAGTGGATATGCCAAAAGCAAAAGTTCTTCCAATTAGGTATGCTAAATCTTGAATATATTTCCTAGTATATTTTGCAAACTGTTTAGGTACATAGAATTAAAAAAAAACTGCACAAGGTTTTTATGAATACTGATAGGCTATTTTTTTTTTCTTTCTACAATTTCAATAATCTGATTAATTTAACTTTATAAAGTGTGTGTGTGTAGTTATAAACAACTGTAGTCCTGTGGGCTTACACTAGACTGTAAGCTCTGTAAGAAAATGCATGTTATTGGTAGCACTTAACCGAGAAGCCTCTCACACAGTAAGCATTCAACTAATATTTGTGGAATATTCACTGTACCTACCACATTCTAACTAATTTTGCAAACATGACAATCTCTGTTTCATCTATGGGGAGACTATCAATGACTTGATCTACCTTCTAAGATCAGTTTGTGAAAATGCCTCTTAACAAATAAGGGTTTTTAAGCTTTCAATAAATTCCCAACTTAAGAGAACATACAGGATTATAAAAACAAACAATAGGCACCTTAAAAGGTGCTTGTTAACCAATACTTGTTGCATGAATGTTCTGGATACATTATTATGGTAGACTTAAAATGGGGCCATATTTTGCAGCTCTCCCCATCAAGATGAAGAATCCATTTCCTCATGCTTTGAATCTGGGCCAGGCTGTGACTTGCTTTGACCAAAAGAATGTCGCAAAAGCAATGTTCTGTCAGTTCTTGAGCATAGGCTTTGACACTACTGCCTTCATGGTACTCTGAGACTATTGTGCTATAAGCCCAAGATAAAGAACCACATGGAGACTCAGCTGTTCCACTCAGTCCCCAGCCAATCTGCTGCCTGAATGCAGAGCCCAGATGAGACTTGCAAAAGAACCATTGAACCAAGCCACGAAACTGATGAGAAATGATAAATCTGGTGGTTTTTTTAGCCACTAAGTTTTGGGATACTGTTAAGCAGTAACAGGTAACTGATGATAAATTATCTAACCCTCATCACACAACCATAAGTGTGGTTTTATAGTTTAGGAAACATACCCAGGTTAAATAATCTGCCAAAGTCACACCACTCTTAAGTGTCCTAAGAACTGGATGCAGGTATTAAAAGGCCAGTTGTCTCCTTCAATGACATCCTGCCATCATGAACCTGAACAGTTCCTTCTGCCAACAACAGAGGTACCTCTTAGAGCTCTGGCTAGAAGATAAACTCTGACATCTTCTTTAAAACCTGCATGGGTAATGTGTCCTGATTTGACATATCTGCCAGGCTTGTCAAATGTAATGCCAGCTATCAAGACGCAGCACTCCAAAAATACGTCCCATTCTGTTTACTGAAACTCAAATAACACTACCTTATCCCAACATAAAATAATTCAGTAACATCTCTGAAAGTATATTCATTCATTTACATTTTAGCCAGCAACAACTGCACAAACTCTGATAATTTGTATTTGGGGCCATACAGTATACAATATTTTTTAAAAATCAGATAACCTTACATTTAATAATTTCTTAATTAAAATGTCTTTATATATCCCAAGTAGTAAACCATAAACCAAAAAATAAATGAAAAACATCTTCAATTGTGAAAGTGATGTTTTTTTGAAAAGAGAATCTACCAGAAGAATCGATTTTGTCCCTACCAAAAATAAAAAGTACCTGAACTTTAAACAAAATTCACATTTTATTTACGTTGAAATAAACTATACAAAATTGACTTTCTTCACCAAAAATAACAGCAATTATTTTCTGTATTATTCCTAGATAACGACAAAACACATTTTTGTAGGTTTTCCAGGTTTTGCTTATAAATCAAGACGAGGCAGTAGATATAGTCATGGAAAAAGACAGAATAAAACAGACAAATCAGTTGTCAGTATCCATGGCCTCTGATCCTGTCTTGACCATGAAACAAAAGTGTTCGACATATACCTGCTAAAAAGCTTATGAAGACATAGGCTCAACAAAGGAATGTAAACAGCAACATCCAGATGTGGAACAACAATGGCAGGTTCTTCTATTTGATCTTTAACTGTAACTTGCCTGTTTAAGAGCACTGAGTAAAGACAGAATCTACACTGGAATCCTTGTTTGGCAAGCTCACGTTTCTTTCACTGCCTGGTAATTCCCTTAACTGTCCATTACAGATTTTTAACAGCATACTTAAAACTCCTGCTCTTCAAAGGTTAGTCATGAGCTTTGTTGTAAGATTTTATAAAATGTATTCCTTCCTCCCACACCTCCTCAAAATTTATTTCTTCAAAGAACTGATAACACCCGACAACTGGATCCACAGTGATAATAAATGTTATGTCTAAAATGACTTACTAAAACAATTCCAAAGTGCCATTAGCAGAGATCACCCAGAAGTGCAACATGGCACTTTCAATGTTACCTTCTGGAAGAAGTTAGTTCTCCAAAGCATGAGAGTTCAAACAGGGGCCATCTAAACAGGCAAATTATCAATGGCTAATGTACTCAGGATATTCAGTGATTAAGTGGTCTACATACACCTTATAGCTTTTCTATGGTTCCAAATTTCTTAAAGATTTTTTTCAATATCAAATATAAGAGGAAACCTATTTTGAAAGTCACTCAGGTATTTTCAACGGTTTCGGAATTATCTGTAGGAAGCTCTGACTTAGTTGTACAGAGTTTGATATATGTGTCCACCATTAAATCCAAATCATGTTTTATATCAAAATTTATGTTAAGCAAAGCTAAGTTACTTGACCTTTGGTCTGTCAAAGTATTCCTTAGGTATGCTTTGAGACGCTTTCGACCATTTTCATAGCGTTCATTCTCAACCTTCATCACAGGAAGAATACATAGGACCTTCAGCAGTGCATAAACATTAGGAAAAAACTTGATGTCTGGCAGGTGGAGGGCTTCATAAATGGTGGATGGAAGCTCTATATCTTTCCCTCTGTGTTTCCACTTGATTCTCCAACAATGCAGCTCAGCTGAGAGTGTATCAGGATTAGGTAAGTCGCTTCTGTACATGTCAGCATGGTGCTCCTCTGATGTATTGAATTTGAGCTGTCCCATGACAGAGGGTACCAAAGATAAGCATTTGAGAGCTTTGAGGTGCTGTTCTGAGAATATATCTTTCAGTTCCTGAATAATGTGTTCCACCGTTGGAACACTCAGAGCTTCTTTATAGTAACTCTCAGAGGTCAGTTGAGATTCCAGGTTCCCTTGCTGAGCTCTGCGGAATTTCCCAGGGAGCTTCATCTGAATATCAAGTTTGGTTGCCAAACTGGTGGCTTCCTCAAACCAAAATTCATGATACACTTCAATATTTTCCATCACTTCATTCAGCGAATGCAGCACCGCAGTCAAGCTACTGGCTGCAAAGAAGACATCAGAAGTTTGCCCCTGGAGATTTTTCCCAAAGGCTCTTGTAAAAGAAAGAACATTTTTAAGAACAACAATGGTAACAATGAAATCAAAATCTGTTAATGCACTACAGAGTACAAATGCTCTGCCTGCTATAGAGTTATTCCATCTAATATTTGTGTCATTATTTATACCATCTAAACATAAAACAAGTGCTTGTAGGAGGTCCACTAAAATTTCAAAAGCATCATGCCTGCCTGTCCACTGAGAATGGCAAATTTCCTTCAGTTCTTTACCCCTTTCTTCGTTGTTCTGAAAGAGGACAGAAATTACATTGTCAAGCTCTAAAAGCAGTTGTGGTGATCGATGGAAGAAAGAACAAACTTCCTCAATTGTTCCTAATGCAACAGACACTCCCATAACAGGCACCGATTTTGCCAACCACATATTTAAGGCACAGGAAGAGCAGAGTGTGTAGACTGCTTGGGGATATTTCTCTAAAAGTCTAGAAGCAACAACTTTCATTTTGGAAGAAAATCCACTGGACACAATGTAAGCCTGGCCACGACAATATTCCATGTTTAATCCCCACTTCTCAGTTATTGTAGTGTGAAATTTCATAGCCAAAATTTCAGCATCAGCTTCATAAGGCAGGAAGCCCACAAATTCCTCTCTCAGGTTATGAGCTTCGTCAACAAACCTCACCAACACAGGCAGGTGCTCTTCCCCTGCTATGTCCACTACATCATCAGTGATAATAGAAAAGAAGTGAGAGTCTCTCACTTCCCTGAGGGTTTCTTCCCGAATGCAGCTCTCACAGATCTCTAGCATCTGTTTCTGCTGTGTTTTTGAACAGAACAGTGTGTTGACTGCTGTTGTCTCAAAGCGCTTTCTCAGAACTTCTTCACCAGAATTTATCCGGCACTCCAGTAGTGCTTGAAAGTTATCAGGAGTAAAAAGACCTTCTGGGATTTCATCAGCTTCATGTCCATCCAGAGGTATGTTTTGTTTTCCCATAAGAATCAAAATTTCAAATAAAGATTTTAAGTATTCTTTGTTTTCTTTCTCTTCAAGGGTTAAAGGTATAATGTCTTCATCCTGTTCCTCACCCCCTTCTGCACTGGGGTTCTGAGCATTGCTGTTGTTGATTTCTTTATGTTTTTGTTCCTGTTCAGAAGTTTCATCAACTGGAAAACAAAGAATTAATTTTATAAACAGGCTTTTGGGGAACCATACAAACAAACAAAAATACATTCTTGATTGATTAAATATTTAAAATCCACAAACTCATTTATTCAACATTCAATAGAGTACCTACTGGACCACAGTCTAGGACAGAGATTAAAATAAGACACACTCTAATGGAGAAGACAAACACTGTGAACAGATATATTTTAATCCTACATGTAAATGCTGTTGTAATAGAGGAACAATAAACTTAGCAACAAGGTATATCACATATAGAGTAATAAGACAGTCCATGCCCTCAGAAAGAGGAAGAGACTATTTATGAGGTACTGTGTTGACATTCTATATGTATCCCATTACTCCCTCTAGAGGCAGGTGATATCAACCCCTTTTGACAAATGACAGTAAATAACTGCTCAAGGTCACATAGATGCAGTTAGAAAGATGGAGATGAGCCCTGGCTGGGTGGCTCAGTTGGTTGGAGGGTCATCCTCTACACCAAAAGGATTTGGGTTCCATCCTTGGTCAGGGTGTACATGGGAGGCAACGGATTGATGTTTCTCTCTCTCTTCTCACCCCTTCCTCTCCCCCAAATCAGTAAAAACATATCCTCAGGTGAGGATTTTTTAAAAAAAGGTGAAATTTAAATCCTAGCATGTCTGGCTCTAAGGTCCATGCGATGCTGTTTTTATCGCTATGCTTTGGGAGATGACACACCTATAAAAACCAATAAAATATAAAGTATATTCATATAATTTTCAGGGTTAATAGAATATCAGAAATCTTAGCCTAATCTCTTCATATCTGGATGGTCTCGCAGTTAAGTATCCTGCCCTCAGTCATACACACAACCCTGCAAGTCCTGGCCCCTGGGGTCCCCTCTGGGTTCATGTCTAACCATCATGGGTTATTAGAAGCTCCAACAACACAATGAATGTAGTTCCTCAACTCTGGCACCCTATTTCAAGCCACTCTGCTTCCACACAGGATATTCCTCCATCTCTCTTTGCCTGAGTCCACGTCTCTTCATCTATAAAGGGGGGAAACAATAGCGCTTACTTCAGGGCTATTATAAGAATTAAATGAACTGATATAAATAAGGTACTTAGAATAAGGACTTGGTACACAGTAAGCACTATATTAAAAGTTATATTAGTAAGAATAATAAGAGGAGGAGGAACATTAATAACTGATGAGAACAAAAACAACTTCTAGCCCTCATCCTTTAGTGATACAGATCAGGCATCATTACCCATAGAAAGGCTACTGGACTCCTACCCTCTACAAGGCCAAGTATCCCCACAGCACTTATTCCTTACACAGTTACCAAGAACCTATTATGTACTACACATTGGATGGACAGAGATTCTGCCTCTGTCCTTACTGCGGCCCTTCCTTCCCTATACTGGGACACTCTGTGCCTGCCACCCCTACCACACTGAGAGCACCTAGAGGGCAAAGTGTATGGCACATTGGCACTCAATAAAGGCAAACTGAACTAAGGATTTAGTTGCACAGACAATTCCAAACCACAGGACAATCAATGCCCACCACACTCTTACATCATTCTCACAGTAGGTTTTGGACATAAAACATATTTATTTGTCCTTACCAGGTCAAGGCCTTTTTAAAAGGCATTCAGAAGTTGAGTCATTAACACTAGCACTTACTTTTTTTCTGTTTCAGTGTCCTGATTTCATCTTCACTCTAAATGAGAAATAAAAAGAAAAAACCATCTTTAAGAAAACTGAACTCTAGGATATCATGTAGACTCACAAGTAAAAAGCGTATTTGAAGTCAAATTTAGTTCTTTCGAGAGCGTAAATTATTTATAAGAAATACATTCTTCAAATAGATAGATGATAGGAAAATCAGAACAATTAATTTGCTAACGACTCCAAGCTTATAATAAAATACTAGAGGGGAAAGAATACACCATTTAACTTACTTTATACCTAAATCATCATAAATTTGGATTGTGTTTACTGGTTAATAAAAGGCATGAAAGTATACCACAGCACTGGAGATCAAATCCAAGGGGACAAAAATCATGCCCCCTACCCCCTGCCACTCTAATCCAGGGGGATATTTAAGAGGGAATTGCTGGATTCTAGAACCTAACACAAAAGCTATGAGAAATCCCTGGGAAGCAGAAAGCGACACAGTGCCAGTATAGAAAAGAAATAAATGCATATAGCATAGATGGTCAAGTGGTACATGTAGGGTTAGACTGAGGAAGAACTTCCCAGCTGTGTCCTTTTCTCTCCCTCTAACCCACTACAATGATTAGATCACAACCCACCCCATTACTATTCCAGGGTAGGAAAGCTGCAGTACCAGTGACAGCTGGAGACAGCGGGGTACCTGCTGGGCAGCATGGGACGTGATACTGATATGAAGAATGTCAGCAGGCTAGACAACTGAAACTATCCCTCCTTATTCTGTGGGCTGCAGAGTTATAAGGATGGCAAATCTGGAACAAGGTGTCTGCTGCAAGGTGTCTGAGGCTCCCTGAGGGGCAGAATACAGGGAAATAATAGCTACAGGATGGGAGGTGTTGAGCTCCTGACCCCTGGTACACATTAAAAAGAATAAAGCTGATTTAGAGGACTGTTATGTAGTGTCAGCATTCATCTATGAAAGTCCCAGAAAAACAAATAAATATAACAGAGGTAAAGAAATGCATGAAAAATTAAAAACTGAGGATTTCTCAGAACTTAAAAATGTTTAAGTCTGGGTAAGAAAAAGACCTCACATCTAAACGTAGTTTAGCAAAACTTAAAATATCAAATATTAAAAAAATACTGAAGGTTTTCAGGGAGAAAAGTCAGGTCACCTAAAAATAAACAAGAATCAGGCACTACATGTCTAAAATTGTGAAATACAGTAAAAACATACTTAGAGAGACATTTATAACTTTGAATATACATAAATATGAGCTAAACATTCAAGCTAGAAAAAAAGCCAAAAAGCAAATCCCTCAACTCAAGGAGAAATCAGTAAGGGGGATTAAAGATGGCGCTGGACTGAGTGGAAGCTACACTGAGACTCTCCTGGGACCAAACTGGAATTACAACTAAAATATAGAAAAACCATCCTGAATAATCAACTGCAACTGAAGACCAGCTGGAGAGCACCCTCATAACCAAGGAGGAAAAGTGGAGACTGCATAGAGACTGGTAGGAAGTGGGGAGGCATGAGAGGGCTGGCTGGACTCCCACAGGCAGCAGCTGAGGGTCCAGAGGGATCGCTCAGGTGTGGGGAGTTCCCACTGAGGACTCTGGGGCCTAAACCCCCAGGGCTGGGCTTCCCAGCCAAGAGCACCAGAACTGAGAAAGGTGCCCACATAACATCTGGCTGTGACAAGCAGCCAGGTTTCTATCTGCCAGGGAGAAACGGCTGGAAATGCAGGCACCCTCTTAAAAAGCCAACACACAAAGTTTTGTATACAGCCACTCACCATGGGCTCAAGCAGAGGGAGGGCAGACTGGACTGGAGCTGTGTGAGGAAAATCTAGGGTTGTGAGCTCTAGAGAGAGAGAGAGCTCAGAGGGCACCCCTCTGGATTCCTGTGCCTAGTAATTCCCCATACTGCAGAGACAGACATTTACCTTCCAAGCAGCTTCTGCCTGAGGGGGAAGCAATTGCCCCACCCTGCTGGAAAATCTTTTACCCTACTCCATGGAGTTTCTACAGCCTGAGGCTCATTAAGAGAATCAGACTAATCAGCCTGCAGGCAGAGACGGACCTCAGAGTGCTTTGAGTCTTTGCCTGATCTGCTTCTAGACCCGGGCCTTGGAAAAGCAGGCTTTGGTGCGCATCTTGGTCCTGCTCTAACACACGTAGCCCCAATAGAGGGGACCTCAAGCCGTGGGTTGTTGATAGCTCCAAACAGGGTACTCAAGGTCACAAACTACATCTGACATTGCCCTGCACCAGAGGCCTTCCAAAAAGACTGAGAGTCCTAGCAGGCCTACCTAATACATAGAAATAAACCCAAATAGGCAGCCAAATGGGAAGACAGAAAAAAACAAGCCCCAAATGAAAGAACAAAAGAAGTCTCCAGAAAAAGAGCTAAATGAAATGGAGATAAGCAATCTATCAGATATCAAGTTCAGGAATACTAACTGTAACAATGCTCAACAACATGAAAAAAGATATGAAAACTATGAAAAATGACCAGTCAGAAATGAAGAATGACATAGCAGAAATAAAGAATATATTGGAAGGAATAAACAGCAGATTATAGAAAGCTGAGGATTGGATCAGTGAATTAGAAGACAGGGTGGAAAAAAATCAATCAGAGATCCAAAAAACAACAATTAAACAATAGGAGGACAGTCTAAGGGAGTTGTGGGACAACATGAAATGTAACAATATTTGCATCATAGGAATGCCAGAAGAGGTCGAAAGTAAGCAAGAGTTAGAGAACCTGTTTGAAGATTGCCAGAAAACTTCCCTAACCTGGTGAAGGAAAAAGTCACACAAGTTCAGGAGGCACAGAGAGTCCAAGCAAGAAGAACCCAAAGATGCCCACGTCCAGACACATCATAATTAAAATGCCAAGAATTCAAGACAAAGAGAGAAAATTAAAGGCAACAAGAGAAAAGTGATCTGTTACCTACAAAGGAGCTCCCATAGGCTGTCAGCTGACTTCTCATCAGAAACTCTACAGGTCAGAAGGGAATGGCATGAAGTATTCAAGGTAATGCAAAGCAAGGATCTGAAACCAAGACTACTCTATCCAGCAAGGCTATCATTCAAAATAGATGGTGAAATAAAGGGCTTCCCAGACAATAAAAGGCTAAAGGGGCAAACCAGCACTGCAGGAAATGCTAAAGGGACTGCTGTAACAATAAGAAGAGAGAGAGAAACAGGCATAAAAAATTTAAATGGCAATAAATAAGGACCTATCAATAACAACCTTAAGGACTTTAAGAGACAGATCTTCCAGACAAAAAGTCGACACAGAAACAGTGACTATAAATGGCACACTAGATCAGATGGCTGTAATTGATATTTACAGAACATTTCACCCCAAAGCTGCAGAATATACATTCCTCTCAAGTGCACATGGGTCATGCTCAAAGACAGACCACATGTAAGGACACAAAACAAGTCTCTACAAGTTCAAGAAGGCTGAAATCATAACAAGCATTTCAGATCACAAGGGCATGAAATTAGAAATCAACTATAGTAAAAACACTCAAAAATATTCAAACACGTGGAGGCTAAATAACATGTTATTAAACAATGAATGGGTTACCAACAAGATCAAGAAAGAAATAAAAAAACTTCCTGGAAACAAATGAAAATGAACACACAGCAATCCAAAATCTATGGGACACAGTGAAAGCAGTCCTAAGAGAGAAGTTCACAGCACTACAGGTCTACCTCGAAAAGCAAGAAAAATTTTTAGTAATCTAACCCTACAACTTAAAGAATTAGAAAGCTCCCTGTGAAGCCGTCTGGACCAGGGCTTTTGTTTGCTGAGAGTTTTTTGATTGCTGCTTCAGTTTCATCAGTTGTTTTTCAGGTTTTCTGATTCTTCCTGACTCAATTTTACATGATCTCACTCATATGTGGAATCTAACAAACAAAACAGACTGAGGAAGAAAATAGATCCAGAGACACAGAAGCATGGAATAGACTGATGAATCTCAGTGGGAAGGTGGGGCTGGGGGAGTGGGTCGGGAGAGATTAAAGAACTTATCATATTTGCATAACCCATGGACACAGACAATAGTGTGGTGAAGGCCTGGGTGGGGGTGGGGTAGAGGGAGCCAATGATGGTAAAAAAGGGGACATCTGTGATACTTTCAATGATAAAGATAACTTAAAATAAAAAATAAATAAAAAATGATTCTCNTGGGGAAGGCCTGGGGGTGGGGTAGAGGGGATCAATGGGGAAAAAAGGGGGGATATCTGTAATACTTTCAACAATGAAGATAAATTAAAAAAAAAGAGAAACCAATAAAATAGCTCACAAGTACTGCAATCATTGATAAAACCACTAGTTCTTTGACAAGACTATTAAAATAATTTTAGGAGCAGAGAAAGGCAAGCATTCCAAATCCTAACGAAGTTCATAAACTTTTAGGAACATATAAAACACAGAAGAGAAAACTAATAAATACGTTGAAATGGCAATCAAAGTATTTCCTCACCCACCCAAGACCTCTGATGGTTTTACCACATTCAGTCTAATTTTCAAGAGCAGATAGTATCTACCTTATACAAGTTTTTCTGGAAAAATTAAGAGAGGAAAAAATGGAAAGCTATCCAACTAATTTTATGAGGCTAACAGAACCTTGATATCATAACTGGATAAAAGGAGTGCATGAAAAGAAATTATAGGCCAACAGTGATAAATGCAAAATCCTAAGTAAAATATTGACCAACTGATTCCAAAACTGCATAAAAATAGAGATACAGTGCAATCAATCAGGGTTCATCACAGGAATGTAAAGATGGTTCAACATCAGAAAACCCATCAGTGTTATTCAGCACATTGAAGAGTGAAAAAAGGTCCAGCCAGGCGTGGCTCAGCGGTTGAGCAATGACCTGGGATCCAGGAGATTGAGGTTCAATTCCTGGTCAGGGCACATGCAGGGTTGCAGGCCCGATCCCCAGTTGGATGCAGGCAGTAGGCAGCCAATCAATGAGGACTCTCTCATCATTTATGTTTCTCTCTCTCTCTCCCTTCCTCTCTCTGAAGTCAATAAAGATTTTTTTTTTTAAGTGAAAAAAATATTGTGAACTTTTTTATTCAATAGATGCAATGAAAGCATTTAATAAATTCAACAAGTTAGAACAAAAACTCTGAATATGAGTACTAAAAGGGAATTTTCTTAGCTTGGCAAAAACTATCTGAACAATAACAATAGCAAACATCAAACTTAATGGAACAAGGCAAGTGTACCAGCTGTGACATTACTGGGACTGTTCAACACAGTAGTAGCGATCTTGACTGAACAATAAAACAGACAACAGGAAAAATTATAAGAATTGGAAAAAAAGGCAAATTTGTCCTTATTTGTAGATTGTCCTTATTTGGAGCTAATATAATCAGCTACGCAGAAAACCTGTTAGACTATTAGGATTAATATTAAAGGGTCTTAAAAACTGCTGAAAACAATCTCATCCAGAATACATAATCAATACCAACAAAAACCATAATATATTTAGAAAGTAATCTAAGGAAGAATGTACATGTTTCCTTTTAAAGAACTGCAACAAAATTCTGGAAATTTTTTCAAATTTTTGACTGTCTGCATCTCTAAAACTATTTTAATAGTCTTTTCAAAGAACTAGTATTTGGTTTTGTCTATGATTACTGTTACTTGATAGCCATTTCATTGTGTTTTTTTTATCCTAATGATGGCTGGAACCACAATTTTGAAAAAGGAGAGTTAAGAAATCGCTCTATTTGCAATTAAGATATATTATAAAGCCATAGTAATAAAATCAGTGTGGTACAGCTGCAAACAAAAAACATTCTAATGGGATAGAACAAAGCTCCCAGAAACAGCCCTGCATATATGTAAACTTGTATATGACAGAGGTGGCATGTTATACCAGTGGAAGAAAGGATGGATTAATAGACTATGTTGGGAAAACCAGTCTTCTCTATAAGGAGAAAGATAAAATTAGATCTCTACTAGACACCATACATACAACTCCAAATGGCTTAAAGATCTAAATATAAAAGGTAAACATGGAAGAAAATTACGTAAATGTTATCTTTAAAAAGCACATAATAGACTGAAATGACATATATTAAAGACACTAGCATGGATATCAACAGGGAGAGGAGGAATGGTAATAGTGGAAGAAGAAAAAATAAACAAAATAAGGATCCTGCTGGCAGTAATGATAAGAGAAAGCCATGGACTGAGGTGTCTAAGTAATTTAATTTTGTTGGCCTAAGGTCAACAAAAAGCAGGTAGGTTTCAATCATCAGAACTAAAGGATATCAAAGGAATAGAAAAACATGCATAAATAATGCCATATGCAGAAATTTAAAGCTTTTTCTAAACCTTGGAGTACTTAATAGCAATAGAATCCTATCCCAAGTCTTAACTTTTAAACTTTCCCTTTCTATAATTATTTGTGCTGAATTCTGGAAATATACCTCAGTTCTATTTTCCTTACTATACAAGAAAAGGTAGTGTTTTGTTGTTTTTTTTTCTTCTTCTCAGGAAGGGAAGGAGGTAGTGGCCTGTAATTAACAGCACACTTTGGGCCAAGTCGATGAGTATCAATTGACTAAACTTGAGAGAGATTTTCCAATTTAAATACTAAAACAAACTAATGATTTTACATCCTGGCTACTTCAATAATAACCATTGCATTCATTTCCCATAAAGTGAAACAGGGAGTTACTTGGTTCAATTTTAACATGAATACATCTATATTTGATTTTATAGTATACTAGGGGGTGGGAAAGCTGAAAGCACATTGACATACCAATTCTTTTATTCGTTTTCTGTGTCTACTATGTGGATTGTTCAAATGACTGGTAAGATCAAATATTGTTGGTATTGCATTATCTCGAAGAACTGTCCTATAAGGACTCTGAAAAAGAAAAATGTGTTAAATCAGAACTAGTCCTTAAGAATGTATTACACATAAATAAAATTCTATGTTGATTTCCCCAGTACTCCTTCACTCCAGCTCTATAGTGTAGAGAGAGACTTGAAGAACTGATGATGTCAATCCAGATCAGCTTATTATTTTTAACTTTTTGTATTTGCCCTTTTGGCAATCTTAACTATTATAAGTTAAGGAACCGAACTAATGATAAGCATTTTAAAAAAAAGTATCTTCATTTTGCATATATATTTCTAATTCAGATTCCCAGCTATTTTATCTATTCTGCCCTTCTATGAGCTCACCAAATCTATAGCAGGCACAAAAGTTTCTGAAGTAATCTACCCTCCTGTATGTTCTACAATGATTCTTTCCTCCTTTAGCTGCTGTTAAGTCCACTTTTGCTACTATTTCTGAGAAGCATCAAAGCACAATGAAATAATATCAGACTGGGACCCGCAAGGCCTAGAAACTAGTCTAAGCTCTACCAGTGACTCACCATAAGACCCTGGTCAAATACTTTCCTTTTTTGGAACTTACTTCCTCTTCTGAATAAAATTCAGGTATTCAACTAGACCAACATTTCCCCAAAATGAAATTATTCACATACTAATTATCATAATGCTTGCCATTTCAGTTATGCCATCTGTACTTTTACACAATTCACTCACTTTTTTAGTTAACATTGTATTAAGCAATAAAAACGACAAACTAATGGTTTGATGGGCTGGTTATATTTTTAACACATATTACAAAAACTTCTAAAATAAAAATTGATTCATGTGCCACCTGAAATCATTCATACCACTGTGATATAAATATTCACACTTTTACAAACACTGAACTAGATATTTCTAAATCCCCTTCTAATGTTCTATGGAAGGATGACTATGCTCTATTCTAATTCCTATTAACCTGATCCAACCTGGCTAAAAGCTAGATGTGTACTTAGATGGTGACAGTTTCCACAGCCAGCCCAGAGGAAGTCAGGTAGAAACAAGAAGTTTATTAAAAGGTAAAGTAGCAGATGAATAACAGCGACTATATTCCACTCCTCATCCTCCCAGAGCTTGTCCAAAGAAACAGTGCCGTTAATTTCTTCCTGAATTTGCACTGGTAAAAGACACTTCATTTTTAAAAGCTTTTTCCAGAGCAGTGATTATTTCAAAGCTGACTATTAAAGCTTGGTCAAAATATATGCCAAACAAAAATAAACCTTCTATAAAATACTTTACCCTTGAACAACACCAGATTAAACTGAGCAGGAACATGTACATGTGAATTTCTTTCAATATTATAAATGTGTTTTCTCTTCCTTATGATTTTCTCAATAAGATTTTCTTTTCTCTAGCTTACTTTATTGCAAGAATACAGTATATAATACATACAACACACAAAATATGTGTTAACTGACTGTTCATGTTATCAGAAAGGACTCCTGGTCAACAGTAGGCTATGAGTAGTTAAATTTTAGGAGAGTCCAAATTATATACAGGTTTTCAACTGCGTAGCTGTCAGCACCCCTAACCTCTGTATTGTTCAAGGGTCAACTCTATATAACTAAAGAAAAAACACTACCTTAGGTTTTATCCAAAGAGTTGTTAAACACATCTGGGAAGAATTTCTATTCTGATTCATTATTTTCTAGTTCAATCTCATGCCTCATAGAAAACACAAAGAAGAAAACCTATTTCTTTTCAAGTTTATTAAGAAAGTTACAGAGGTAGTACAAGTGAGCCAGCTGGGCTGCAGAGGCTCAGGAAACAAGTTACAGAAGCAAAAGAAGGGCACTTGGAGCTTAGCAGAGAGAAAGGCAAAGGTAACAAGCCTGGAGGGAAAAGGGAAAATTGAAAGGGAGGGGTGCTTCTGAGAGGGAGCACCACAAAAATCTGTTTCTTAATGACACACAACTTCTAATGCTGGGCCAATTATCCTGACTACTAAGAAGTCTGAATCAGGGATTGATTCAGGACACAATCATTGAAGGGAGCAAAAACTATGCAATACCCAAAGTGTCTCATCTTTCCCACATAAAATCATCTCAAAAAGCAAACATACACACATACACAGTCAACTCTTGGTATCCTACCAATTATTGAATAAGAAGAGCAGGGATAAAGCATTCTAATAAATTTTTAAAATTCAAATCAAATTAATTTGCTATAAAAAATATTACAGACCCGAAAACAGAATATATGAATGAAAAACATGCAACTTTTTGTAAATTTTTATTTATAAGTATGCATGCCAAAAATCGCTATATTCAATTCATGTGCATGATCATTTTAATTCAGTATCAAGATTTAATCTTTAACTGCTGAATGAAAGTTTGAGCATAAAGTAATGATCTTACTCTAGCATTAAAGAGAACATTTGGCTTTGGCTGAACTAGCCACGAATGTTTACTGATGAGATTTTAAACGCCAAATTAATGAAGTCAATATTCTTACACATTAGGATACAGATATCAGGTAATCCTGCTTTTAATAGCAATGTCTTCTACATGAGTAGAAAAAACATTTTCTCATGTCTGTGTTAATTTATTCAAGACTGAAGACTCACTGAAATTTAAAAAGCAAAAGTCTATTCTCTGACTAAACAAGAATATAAGAGTGAACTATATGTTAAATTTCTCATATTAATCTTATTGGAATTACCTAATTAAGAAACCATATTCATCACTAAAATAAAAATGCAAATGGCTTGTGTATTTAAAATAATAATTTGGGATAGTTTTACTTATTGTCAAAAACATAAAAGTAGTTTGCCTTTTGACATAAGAAATCTTTTATTTTGGTTGATCATTACCCTCTTAACAAAGCAAGGCAAAATTATCCCTCAAATATTTGTGATTAAACTGTTGAACCGGAATTGGCTCACCTCCCAATGACTTCACAAGTATCTGCTTCAAATAATTTTGAGAAATAAAATAACCCAATCATTCTTTAGTTTTCTGGTGCCTCTGCAAAATGTATCTGAAAAAAATATCAAAATAAATTGCTGCATAACAATATACAGTGCACCTTCAAATCAAGTTTATGTCTATCCCAATATCTGGGATGATATATTAGCTATACCTAAACAAGAATACATGTGTTATTTAACAAAACTGATTTCCTAACTAGCTTTTAGTGTTTCAAGTCTGCTCCATTTCAATCACATCTGCTCTATGTGAGCCTTTTATGAATCCTAGCAATAATAGAAACAAGGAGGGTTAAAAATTTTAGACCTCAGGAATTATCATGTCTAATATCATTAAAAACTGGAGCCCAAGGAGGAAAGTGACTTGGCCAAATTCAGTGAACAGTGGTAAGATTGTTAGTAGTAAGAGAGATTCAGGTCTTGATATGAAATTGCAAATTAATGATGGAAATATTTTTTTACACTAATTGTATGATCTGCTTCGGGTTGTATCTAGCACATAAAAATTAAGAGTCGGTTCTAACAGTACATACAAAAACAAAAACATGAAAACAAAAAGCTCCATTCCTGGAAGGTTTCACTCATAAAAATGATGTAGAGAAGCTGCTCCAAATAAAAACACCAACTTTACCTTAAATAAATATACACTTTCATAATAGCCTAAAACTTTCTGAAGGCTACACAAGAAGTTTAAAAGTGGCTACCTCTGCTAAGTAGGAATGGGGCATCATTAACGGGGGGGGGGACCCGGTGTGGCTCCATGGTTAGAGCATCAGCCCATGCACCAAAGAGTCACGGGTTCAATGTCTGGTCAAGGGCAAGTACCTGGGTTGCAGGTTTAATCCCTGGCCCAGGGTAGGGGTGCTTATGAGAGGCAACCAATCAATATGTCTTTTTCACATCTCTCTGTCTCTCTCCAATAGGTTTTTAAGAACGAAATAGATACTATTAAGCTCCAAATTTGTCTTCATCTTTAAAAGACAAAAATAGTGCTGGGGTATAAGGATACCCTTCAACATTAATGGAGAAAGATTTACACTTCCAACCAGACACAGAGAGAAAACAAAAAAGCCCCAAGCCCTTCTATTACTTACAGTTCTACAGATCATAGAGGTCTCAAAGTGTTTGGCACATAATCGATAATGTTTATTTAGCTGATCAGGTGTTTTATCTTCTAAATCTGCTCTCCTACAATTTTCCACCCACTTCTGGCACCTATAAATAAAACCAAAATACAATTATGGAATATGAGCTCAACATTTAGATTTCAGGATTTAGTTTTAAGGCAAATAATATCATGGACCATGGATTCTTGCTCTCCTCTATCCGCAGAACATGACATAATTTAGTGAAGTTGATTAGTAACAAAATGAGAGCTAGAAGAAACCTTAGATATCATTTAGTACATTCAATTACAGACAAGATTAAGAAGTAACTTGCTCAGAGTCATATACAAAATCAGCAGCAAAATTAGAACTTAAACCTGAGTCTTTCAAATCCCAACAATCCAGGCATCAGAGAGGACTCAATTACCAGCAGTACGAGTAAAAAGTTGCACAACCATGACAACCTAACATTCCCCTTAGGATTTCAACTTAAGCATATAAAGCAACACTGTCACTGTAAAAAATTAGTTAAGTAAATGTTCTATAAATAACTAGAGTTTCTTATGGAAGCACGACAGTCTTATTACGAACATGATTTATTATTTATAATGATATGTACAGACTAGATTTCAAGCTCCATGAATGCAGGGATTGTGTCTACACAATCTAGCACACAGGAGGTGTTGAATATAGTGAACAAGACAAGGTCCATGCCCTCTTGGTGCTTAAATATCTGCAGAAAAACAAATAATAAGAAGCACTCTTTATGAGCCAGACATTGTCCTAAGACCCTTCCATACTTTTTTTGTCCCCTTTGTGCAGATGAAGAAATGAAGACACAGAAATATTAAATAATTTGCTAAAGGTTACAAGATCTCTCATTCCTCAAATTTCTAATAAAATTCTGCCATGAATGCTGCCACAAATCTGAAAACATTTACATTATAATTACATTATAGTATATTTTCTTATGTCTCAATATTACACTTCACCCCTCCACACACTTTCTAACACTAATTCCCTCTACTCTCAATATGTAATATAAAACCATGATGTAACGTTGGTTATCTAACCTAAACTAAAACCATACCTAACTTGTACAGCATCTCATTCGGCTAAGAAGCATTGCTACTTGCAGGAATGATGCCTAAGGTGTCTATATTTTAATCATATATTTATACAGTTGTGTAATATGATTATAAGCATTTCACGTTTCAACACCAAAGTATTTCGTATAAAAACTGTCTCACTATAAGGTAAGTTGCCATACTCACACAGTTAAGTTTGTTTTTTAATTCTTACATCTCTGAAGACCTTCCACATAGAACCCTACTGTATTATCTCTGAACTAAGTTGAAACAGCTTTCTGATACCAAGAGAACTTAACTTCACTACACTTATGTCTTCCATATCAAATACCAAGAAATAAATCTAGTGCAAGACCTCTAACAGAAAACAAATTTTTAAATAACTTAAAGATATCAATTTTCCCCAAACTGATTTACTGATTTAATACAATCACAATCCCAACAAGTTCTTTCATGCATACTTGTGTGTGTGTATGTTTGAGAGAGAAATGACAAGATGATTCTAAAAATTTATACAGAAATTCAAAGTACAGAGAATAGTCAAAACAATCTTAAAATTCCAAATGAATTGTAGATACAAATATGAAAGGTAAAGCAATAAAGCTTCTAAAAGACAAAGCAGGAGACTATCTTTACCTTGGAATATACAAAGATCTCTTAAAGGCAACAGAGAGCACAAACTAAAGAGGAAAAGATGAATTAGTTAGGCTACTTTAAAGTTAATAACTTTTCTTCATTAAAAGAAGACATTTAAGAGTAAAATGGCAATCCGCAAAATGGAAGAAGGTATCTGCAATACATATATCCAACAATGGAATCATATCCAAAAGATATATGAAGAAAAGAACTCCTACAAATAAACCAGACAACCCAATGTAAAAATGGGCAAGAGATTTGAACAGGCAATTTGCAATTATTCAGATGGCCAGTACACATGAAAGAAATGCTCATAAAAAAAAAATTAAAGAAATAAAAAGCTCAATCTCATTAGTTATTAGGGAAATACTAATTAAAACCACAAAATATTACCACATATCTGGAAGAATGACTACAATGTAAAAGAGATAAAACTGAATATTGATAAGAGGTGAGACAATTCTGCCTATCAACAGTAGAAAGGATCAACTGTGGCATACTATTCTATATGGGAATGAATGAATTTAGCTAGATCTCACAAACATAATGTTGAACAAAACAAGCCAGGCATCATACTATGTGATTCCTTTTATATTAAATTCAAGAACAGGCAAAACTCATCTATGGTGATTGTGCAGAAAAAGAGTTAACAAAGCAGGCCCGAGATGGCTATCCTTAGAAAGGCCTGTTTATAAGGTTGGTCTTTTAGCTAGTGTCTGGGAACTTGGCTGGTGAATAGTTTCCTACACTGATATAAAACTTGTCCTAACTGGGCCGTGGCTGGGTAGCTCAGTTGGTGTCATCCAGATATGCCAAAGTTGCAGGTTCGATCCCTGGTCAGGGCACATACAAGAATCAACCAATGAATGCATAAATAAGTGGAACAACAAATGGATGTGTCCTTGCCCCCCCATTCTCAAATCAATAAAAAAGAAATACTTGCCCTAACTGATAAGGTGCTTCACTATGGCTAGATTGTTTGTGCAAACAATATGATTTATACAGAACACCTGCCTTCTGAGAGTCTGGAATTTTAGTATATGCTAGGCAGTGTGTCTATGTGACCAGACTCCAATAAAATCTTCAGGCACTGGGTCTCCAATGGGCTTTTCCAGGCAGAAACATGGCACACATGTTGTTGCATTTTCATTGCTGAAAGAAGTGGGCTCTGTGTGACCCTCCGTAGGAGGGAGAGAATAGAAAACAGCCTACATATGGATGCCTCTATAATCTACCTGTGTCTTTCTCCCCTTATGTATGTTCTTACTACACTGCTGTAATAAATCTTAGCTGTGATTAGTACAACTATATGCTGAGTCCCATGAGTCCTTCTAATCAATCTCTGAATATGCAGGTGGCCTTGGAAACACCCAACACAGTGAGGATAGAATAGTGGATACATTGGGGAGGGGTAACAAGTAGAAGTGGGCACAAAGGAGGCTTCTGAGGTGCTGGTAATGTTCTAGATATTAGGTGCTAGGTATGTTCATTCTGTAAAAATTCATTAAATTCTAGACTACCATTTGTTCACTTTTCTCTATGTATGTCTCATATATCACTAAAACTGATTCCCCTCTCTCTTCCCCTTCTCCTCAATAACCAACTAATTTAATGTGTGTGAAGTCTGACAGTGAAGTCAGACCACTGAGGAGGAGTTTGGGATGTCAATAATATTCTACTTTTTCTTTTTAACACAGGAAAAAGTTTCACAGACATGTCACTCTGAAAATCCAACAAGCTTATAATTTGTGATCTTCTGTGTATATGTTTTATATTAATAAAGTTATAAAAATTACACATGACCACAATAAGTTTTTACATACATACATGCTTATGTACATGTATATATTTACATGCTTATATAATCCTCTCAATTTTTCAAACCGATGTTCCTCCTTTTCTAGCTCCCCTGTCCCTTGCCCTGTATTCCAGACTCTGTAGCCTTTTCCCTTAGCAGAATGGAATGACTCCCCAAATTAATTTACTTCCAAATTGATCTTTTGCCCTTCTCTAACCCCTTCTCCTTAATGCAGAGTAAATGTTTTAAAAAGCCAATGTGAGAATGTCTTTCCCTGCCTATAATTCTTTGTGGCTTCTCATTGCTCTTATGATAAAAAACCAACTCCTCACATGCCTTGTAAGACCCTGCACAATGTGGACCTTGTCCACCATTCCACCTTCATATCACAGCACCCTTCCATTCTCTTTGCCCTCCTCATAGGCCTTACTTCAGTTTCAGGAATGCACAGTGGTCATTTTTATTTTAGGGCTGTCCCCCATGATGTTTATTCAGCCTAGTATCCTCTTCTTCTTGTTTTTTCACTTCTTTTGCACAGGAAAGCCTATGCAAAGATCAGCCCTCAGATCTTAGCTCAAATGTCATTTCTTGAGGGAAACTTTTCCTTATTCAGATGTGTATACATATGTGTGTGTGTGTGTATGAGTATGTATATATACACACCCAGGTAGGTAAGCCTCCTCCCTACTTCTCTGTATGTGGTCTCTCAACATCCTATATTTATCCTACCAGTTTACTGCCATCAGTATAAACATGTCCTAGTACCTCCCATATTAAAAACTTCCTTAACCCTCATCCTCTACATAGCAAAACTAGTTAAGAGTCCTTTTTCACTTATCCACTTTCTTATCTCATATTCTTTACTCAAGGAGGCTTCTGCTTTATCCCTTTTCCACTGAAACTGCTCAGGATTATTAATGACTTCCATCCTGCCAAATCCAGTGGCCACTTTCTATCCTCATCTTAATCACACATCCAGCACTATTCAACCAACATTGACCACTCCTTTTTAAGTTTTATTTTTAATTTTTTTCCTTCAGTGGTCTCCTACTAATACACTGCATTTCTAAAAACATATTCCAAGGATCATTCTTTAAAAAAAGGTTTAATGGTCAAATAAGTCTGGGTAATATTACATAGTAATCCTGCTTTTGGGGTGTTAGATATTCCTGTGGGACCTTGAACAAATTAGCCAACCTCTCTGTGCCTGCTTTGGTTATCTGACAGCAGGAGTATCTCAAAACTGACTGCAAGTGTCATATGAAATAATGTACATAAAACACATAAAGTATTCTGTATTATTATTACAGCTCAAGCATTGTTTGAAGGATTAAATGAGATGACATGAAAGTACTTTAAGATCATATTTTATAGGAGCAATTCTTAAACTTCATAGTCTCAGGACCCTTTTGCATGCTTAAATCACTGAGGACCAAAAGAGCTTTTTTATGTGGGTTTTAAGTATCAATACTTAGAATTATAGAAATTAAAACTGAGAAAAACTTAATATTTATTAATTCTAAAAACAGCAATCCCATTACATATTAACACAACACTTTAATGAAAATAACTATATTTTCCAAAACAAACAAAAAACATTAATTGCAAATGTTTAGTTTAGTGAAGAGAATGGCGTTGTTTTCCATCTCTCCAAAACTCTTTAATGTCTAGCTTACTAGAAGATACCTAGATTCTGACATCTGCTTTTATATTTAATCTGTTGCCATATGTTGTTTGGTTGAATATATATAAAAAATCTGGCATCACAATGACATGCAGCTTAAAGGTTATTAAAATATTCCTCCTTTTCCACAAAATTGTAGATGTTCTTCTTTGATATTACACCAAAAGTCCACCAAAAATCTTTCTTAAAGATAGTTAAAAAAAAAAAAAAGATAGTTGCAGCTCTATCCAGTTTTGCTCAGTGGTTAGAGCATTAGCCTTTGGACTGAAGGGTCCTGGGTTCAATTTGGGCTAAGGGCATGTACCTCAGTTGCATGCTCAATCCCCCGCCCCGGTCTGAGGCAGCCAATTGATGCCTCTTACATCTCTCTCTCCCCTCCCCTTCCATTCCCTCTGAAAAGCAATGGAAAAAAATATCCTGGGGTGAGGATTAAAAAAAAAAAAAGTTAGTTAAGCCTGGCCAGTGTGGCTCGGTTGAGCATCCTCGAATGTACCAAAAGGTTTCGGGCTCAACGCGCAGTAGGGGACATGCGAGAAGTCAATTGATGTTTTTATCTCTCTCTCCCTTTCCCTTTCTCTCTCTCTAAAAATCAATAAAAACTTTTTTTTTTAAGTTAACTTTTGAAGAATACATGTTAGCAATGTTGCCTTATGTCGCCTTTCATCAACCTTCCCT